TTAAACTGGATATATTAGTCAATGATAATGATGGTGCTATAGAAGTAATAGCGGATGATGACGAAGAAGAATTAAGAATAGACGGAATCGATACAATAGAATTACGCTGCAGTATATCTTGTATTGATGACAAAAGCGACGTATTCGTTGTTGTTTGTTGATCTGAAGATTTATGCGACGCGTAAATATTTGACGAAGTTAATAGCGACGGTATAGTCGAAAATGATGACATGGATGTTACTGTGCTAGTTGATGGAATCGGTACTAGAGTTGGGGTGCCATTTCGATGTTGTGTCGAATATGAATATGGTAGTGCTTTTGTTGGAAACGAATTAAACGTTGATGTTAAGGGTGCTGATCTTACCGCTTGGATACACTGCGATAGTGTTTGTGAAGCTGACGATGACGAAGATAATGAGGACACCAGTTCGCTTAAACTGAGTATAAAAAACAAAAGTATTAGATTGTAGACAAAAAATCTGAATTAAATAGTAATTAGACAAATTTTTAGTCTCAAATTTTTTTGAATCTCAATATGTGCCTAATAACTTTAAACTGAAATTGTCGGCAGTACTTACCTTTTGACTGAAGCACTAATAGCCGGTGAGGACGATGACTGAGTACTAGTAACACTTGTTGGTGTGCTGCGTTTTAATAATAGTAATTTTTGTTGTTCCATAGTTGTTGATAGAAGTGTACTTGGCGATAAAGCTGTGGTTGATAAAGGTGGAACAACTGTTTTGTTACTGTTCACTGTTGATGTCTGTATTTTTGCTCCACTAATAGACGATGAAAGAATCGGTCGTGTTGGTGATGTTGAAGTAGTGCTTGCCGTAATACTATGATTTATTTCATAAATTTGTTTATCTAACAATCGAATTCGTTCATCTAATGGTATACGATTTGTTGGCGAATCATCATCACCCACATCACTGCGAAATGTAGTTATTTGAGATAAATCAATATGGGGTGTCGTGAGTGCCGGAAGCGTTATACCATAGGTAGAATTGTTATTATTGTCAGTAGAATCAGCTGTTGTAGAATCACTGATTTTATCCGATGATTGTTTCCCAATGAGTGACACATTTCCACTATTACTAATACCTAACGTCGAATGTTTTAAATGTGCTTTTGGATTCAACACTACTAGAACATTCGCTGTTGGCATAGATTTAACGAGATCAAATGCAAATTGAGGAAACGGTAAACGTAAATTATCTAAATTATTTGTTGTATTATTTGATGATGATTGTAAACGTACATCGATCAAATCGTAATTGTATACAGGTTCTAATGGAATATCTTTCGGCATCGTATTGTTAGAAATCACATGTAATGATTTATTCGGCTGTGACGATGTGGGTAGACGACGGTTTACATTATGTGTCAAATGCATATCATTCGTATCATCCTCGACGATGCCACCACTATTATTTGATACATGATTCGAAGATGAAGACAATAAATCATCCGCCTTTTTTTCGTTTAGTAATTCCACAGAAGATGTTGATAATTGATTTAAAATATCATACGATGGCGAAGCATTTAATATCGGTTCAGTTTGATCTTCACGTTTACGAATTGGTTGTAATCGATAAGCTGACGTAACGGTGGTTGTAACAGGTGACTTGTCTTCTTTAAAATCTAGCAAAAACAAAGAATAGAAAAATTGATTATTTACTATTAATATCTTAGGAAAAACTTTGTATCTAACAGATTACTTGATTATGTCGTTTACTTACTTTTAACATTTTTCGAAGTATCAATATTTCGTTGCGTTTCGTTAGTTTTAGTTGTGTTTGAACTCGTTGATGTTTTGTTTATATTTGTAGCAATCATTTTATTCATCGTTTCAGTTCCACTTTCAAGCAATATATCGTCATCTTCGCCATTATCAATGACACCGTTATTGTTGTTATGATGATTTTGCATTAACCAGTCAAACACTAATTGAGGATCTTTTCTTAAAACTTTTGGCGATGATGGTTTAACATTTGATAATACAAGCATTGATGATGGTGAAACGCAACTAGTTGATGGTAGTCCAGACGATTTGTTATTTTGTAATTGCTCTTTCTTTAGCGTAGGTGAAATAAGAGTTGATATTGGTATTGGCGACGTCATCATAACAGCGATTGCCGGTTCGGTAACAGCAGAAGCGATCGTCGAACAAGAAGACAACGTCAAAATTTTACTGTCAGTCGGATTTAAATTATTAGTTGTAATAGTAATAGTACCCGTCGTTGTCGGAGAAATAGATGAAATTGATGTATTTTTCATAGTTTGCTCTTGTGATAGTCGTCGAGGAGTTAACGTTGATGTTAGAGTAGTAATTGGAGTAGGAATGCTAGTCGATACTGTTAACGTTTGAACTGTAGATGAGAATGCAGTACTATTATGTGCTGCTTGTGAAGAATGATGATTTACGTGTCGTAAACGCTTACGATTTCGTTCACGTTTATCTTTTGTCAATTTTGGTTTTCGATGAGATGATACTCCGCTATCGATTATTTTTTTCTTCTTAGTCACTAATATCGATGATGACGAAGATATATTATTATTATTTCCTGAAATTGATTTAGTTGTATGTTTCTGTCGTGAATTATTTCGTTCGCCACGATCCGAACTTGAACTGCGACTACTTGATGTACTTGAATGATGAGTATGACTTTGTTTGCCTGATAGTAGTGCTGTAGAAGAAATCGATGTGTTGAAAGCATTTGATACTAAAAAAAACAGAAAAAAGTTTCATTTGATTAATGTACTTAAACTTTAGGAATTAAATGTACCACTATCTTTAGATGATGTTGAAAGACGACGTCGATGACTAGCAGTAGACATTGGTGCTACTGATGATGCTGGAAGAATGGTGCTCAACAAGGTATTACTATTCGCTGGTGAGATATCACTATTACCTATAATAATAGATTTTTAGAATAAAATTGCTTTTTCAGCCTAAAAGTTTTAAAATAATACCTATCGCAGCGACTGGAGCACTATTTGGAGTTGTATCACGATGATGCATTTTTGTATAATCTTTTGAATGACGTCTGTGTAATAAAGAAATCAAAATATACTACGATCTGAGTTAAATTTTCATTTTTAAAACTTACCGATCTGGTGGATGACGAACATCTGATTTATGTGTACGATTATAGGATGATGGTTCTTTGTAGGAGAGAGGCCATCTTTCTCGTGTGGTATCATATCTGATCAAGAGAAAAATAAAGGTAAGAGTTATTCTATCAAATGTTAACAGGTAAAACTTACGATGGCAATTCTAATGGATCACGAGTTACGCTACGTTTTGTTCTACAAATACAATACATCAAACAAATCAACGTTACACAAATTTAAAAGAAATCTTCATTCATACCCAGTACGTGTTTCTGCTAAATATAATGGTTCCGACGTATAGGCTACAAAACTAAAACATAAAACGAAAATGATGAATGATATTTTAGTAAAAACTAAAAAATAATCTACTTCTTTTTAGTGCTTGCTTCTTCAATAACATCAGAAAATCGTGTTATAAATACTTTGCTGGCATAATCAACCTATAAATGAGTCGACAATTGAGTATACAAATGGATCATTTTCAATTAAACTATTAACCTGTATTCTTCTATTATCTAATTTTTTTCCTCTAATATGATTAATAACTTCTTGTGCTACTCTTGTATCAGCAAAATACACTAATCCTTGTGCTTGTCCTTTATTACGATTATCAACATAAATATCCAGTACTTGATCACTTTGAATAGTGACAACTTAAAACAAAACCAAAAATAATGCATTAGTATATTTAATATTCAGTAGCAATTCTTTTTACCTGTTCGAATAACAAACGATCGAATAGTATGATCGGTAACATTCAATGGAAGTTCACCTAGCCACAAAACATTGGTAGGTTGAGATTTACCAAAGCCCAACTAAACAAAATAAAATTAGTTAAATTATTTATTAGATATTAATTCGCGAAGATCGATCGAAATACCTTAATAGGATGATCACGTAATAGTTTAGAATCCATGGCTTTCATTGCTTTGACAACACTTTTAATATCGGCATATTGTACAAAAGCAAATGTCAATGGATGTTGAGATTGCTGTTGACGTTTTATCTCTACTTCCTAAAACGAATAATCGTAAAAATTTTAATCCGAGATGATAAAAACAAATTTTTAAACTTACAATTATATCACCATATTTGGAGAATGTTTCTCTCAAATCATTATATGATATATCCGGTTCTAAATTTCCAATATAGAGTGTTCTTGTAGCTTTAGCTGAATATTCGTCTACATCTGTTTCACTACCACCACCTCGTTTAACCGTATCATAATCGTCATTATCTATAAAAATAAAAACATTTGTCAGTATTAAACATTGTTTCTTTCGTGATAAACAATAAAATTTGCATTCATATTGTAAAAGTTACTAAACAGACTCGTTTTTTCAAATCGAACGTTGTGAGCATCGAAAAATAGTCACATTTGCAACAAAAAAACAATAACTGATTATTTTCTCTTTTAATCTTTTTACTGTTCAAGTTTAGAAACATCAATAGTCTATTGATACTGTTTTACATACCAGTAGACGCATCGTACGGTTCAGCACGTATACGATTAGTTCCAATAAGTTTGTTTTGTGAATGTAACAACGCTTTTTCTACATCTTCATTCCTTGTTGAAGGGAAAAAGAAGAAGTAGTTTTAGGAATAACCATCTCATTATCAAATACAACTTACTTCCGAAATGTGATCAATGCATGACGTTTATCTGAATCACTCTCAATTTTAAGTGTAACTAACCGTCCAGCTTTTTTAAATTCAGCATATAACGTTAATAAATTTTCGCGTAATGCAGATACTATAAGAATAGCAGCATAAGAGTAAGAGATCCAGTGAATTAACAATACTTTTGTGTTGTCCTAATTAAACTTACACGGCATTTTCTGTGGCAGATTAGAAATTTTAATAATTTTTGTTTTTCCATGGCCATTAACGCCTGTTGTTTTTGTCGATCGACGACGATTATGAGTTGAACTTAAATATCGAATAGAAAAACATGATAATAAAATAAAATACATTTTACAAACGTATTATGTTACCTATCATCACTAAAATCTGAGTCGGACGATGTTGATGAAGAATTCGATGAGCCATGTTTATTTCGTGATTTTGAATTAATCACCGTTGGATGTACACCGGAATTTCTACAGAATAAACAGATAATAAGATGTGTAATTCACTATTAAATAATAACACATTTTCTTACTTGATTGCACTAGTCGAAGTTTTTCGTTTACTACCCGATGATCCAGAATCATCTCGCTTAACAGGAACAACTTGATGTCTATAAGAAGAAAACAAATTAATTGATAAAAGTCACTTCAAAGGACTGAAGACTATTTTGTGAGATATAAAAAGTAAAATTAAAGTCGTTTAGATCTCGTTATACTAAGCACAGAATACACGACTTATGATATATAAATACATTGTTTAGCTGAGCGTAACAAAAAACGACTGCTTCACTCCATAATCAAAAGAAAAATAACTTAGTTAATGCGTTATTCATAGCATTCGCAGAAAGACAGAGCAAATCTTGTCTTCTTCCTTTCATCTAATGTTTCTAATTCTATACTTTGAACGAACAAGTATTCATTCAAAGTAATTTATTTATTTAAGGTACGAGAGGTTAAATTTAATATTCTTGTCTTGCATGAATGCGAACAATATTTTTACTCTACTTTTCTATCTATGACGACCTTAAACATCACCTAACCAATGACAAATATGTACTGAAACTGATTAATCTATTATGATTTTAAAAATTAACGAAATTATACGGTTTTTAGTTGACTCACCCGAATAAGAGAGATGCAGGTACGAACGGTGGAGGAGGAGGTACCGGTGGTATAGAGAAAATATTCTGTAAACCGAGTAGTAGAGAAGATGGTTGAGAATGAAATACATTATTGTTGTTGTAGGTTGTATGAAAATAAAAATAATTTGCCATTATGAGTAAAATTCATTTTCTTGAATTTGATCGTCATCAAAACATTATTAATGTACTAACTTTTTGCAAACTAGCGGTTTAAAGGAAGTTTCTTCTTTATACTATAGAAAATAACACTGTAGACAGTGTTCTAAAATATTCTGTCATCGATGAAAGATAGACAGAAAGAAATCTTTACTATCATTTTAAACAAACAAAAACACGTGCTCTCATATAGCCAACAAGCATGCTAGTAGAAAAATCTATACATATGTACTAGATTTAATCAGGCAGCTTACTTATTCTCTATGGTAAGTGTAACAAACATATGTTTTTTGCAAATAAGCGAAAAATGACTATTGTTAAATGAAAAAAAAGATCAAAGGGCAGAGGAAGTTGAAGGATCTGAATGTATTCTATCTTTTATTCATTTCGCATATTAAATAATTTGATACTCATTAATCTTTTGACTGAAAAATAGTTATTTGCTTCTGAAAATAATTGATCTCTTTTTATAAAAATAACCCTCAAATGACACGATGAATAATCGTGTTCACCCAGTTGTGACCTTGCTTAAATTGCAGTAATACATTATTATTCTGTAAATATTATTCGAATGCAATCTTCCACTAGTTTTCAAAATTAAAATCTTAGTTCTCATTTCTTGAACTGCTTTATTGATTAGCATTGCTACTATCATCAGCAAATGTTCATATTCAAGAGATAGGGCAAAGGAGAAGACAATACATTAATGATAATTGTATGCACTTCGTTTTTAGTAACTACCGACCCAAAAAACGAGCCTTAAACAGACCGTTTATCGGTCCTTCTTACGTAGTTTTTGAGTTATGAACGGTTCTTTACTTGTCGCGCTTTTGATAGGTCATACATCGAAGACGAAATGTTTGTTACGATTGATCTAGAAAGCTGTCACCGACTGTAGACAGTACGTTCATTGCTCTTTCTCTAATTCTCTTGCAGTAATAACGTGCCTCTCGGAAGCAGCCCAACGTACAGTTACAAAGAGCAATAATGAGCATTCGTCTACAATTCAAAGTGCTTAGGTAGAAAAAAAGTATACTCAAGGTGAAGGACTACTGAAATAGTGCTCTTAATCGTGTTCTCAACTACTTTGTGTTCTTCTAGTACTCGTGTGAAAGACATATATTCTTAAACTTTGTTGTTTTTTTTATAACAAAAAGTAGAGTACGAATGTCAAGTGATTTTTAACTTGCACGAAAAATACGTGAAACAACAAATAACCAATGCGAAATGCGTGAGTCATTTTGTAAAAGTTTGGACGAATCTAAGTAGTAAATTTTTGAACGTAGAAAATATCTTATTCTTTATTTTGTTGTATTTCATTCAGATGACACGTAAGAGTAGTAAAAATGACTAGAAATTGTGGAAATGTTCGTGTTCACCATAACTCCATTGATGCCAATCCGATAAATAATCATTAATTGTATGACGAAGTCGATTCGAGTAATGGTAACGGAATAAATAATATAGATAGTATATAGTACGTTCAGGCGAATACTTCGATATTGCATTTCGCACGGTCTTTTAATTGTTACAGTATTTGACGTGAATAAAGAGACAAACATGGAACAAACAACGAAAGGAGAAGAAGAAGAACAACAGCAACTATCCAGTAGAAAGTATTTTTGACCAGCAAAAAAACGTAAAAAAAATGACTAAATATCTGTATCTGACTTCAAATATACCGCCCAGCAGTTTCTAATCAAGTTAGCCTGAGTAACAGGCAATACACCGTTCTACGGTTATTGAAAAAATAATATTAATAATGATTATGTTCATAATTGAACAAAGAAACACATTTAGAAACGTACATGTATTCATAATCCAAGCGTTGAACTTAAACTCAAATCATTACTTGATTTATCGCGTTTACGAGTAGTAGTGAAGTAGTAGTAGTAGTAAGTATTTGGGAAACTTCTCCACCTTACCGCGTATTCTCATCTGGACTACATGCAATTCTTGATGATCGCTTTTCAACATGGGTTTGATTTTTTCCAATCACTGTTGATGATAATGTCGTCGGATGATGATGACCGCTACTATGATGGGTTGGAGTCAATGTAGAGGAAGAAGAGTTAGTCACTGTTACATTATTATTATCAATACTCGTATTTGTTATGGAGCCACTCGTTTCTGACGTTGTCATCTGTAATTCAAGTGGTTCAAGTAATGCTTTTGGAACAGATATTGATCCATCGTGGAATGCCGTCCGTAATTTTTTTCCATCTAATATGTTCTCACTATTATGTGCTTTTGATGCGGTTCGGACATCCAAATAGCCTACAAAAGCATAACGTTGATCATCAGACAATTCCAATTTGACAGTATGAACACGACCATATCTATAAAACACAAATTTTAAGAAGTAGAAATAATGTTTGAATGATGAATAGTTTGTTATGTGATTGTCTTACTTTTTAAAATAATCTTTCACATTTTCTTCAGTAGCCGATTCTGGTAAATTTGCTACAGCAAGACACCTTGATTCAGCAACAGTCGTTTTATTATTAGTTTTAGTTGTTAATAAATTTGTATCACTGGGCATATTAATTCATTTATATACAAATATTGAAAAAAAACATTTTGGAACATACATCCATACATATACTACTTAACTATAACGAAGATAATTAGAATAAAAGTTCATTGGAAAGCCTGTATGTCCCGAAATACCAAAATTTGAACATTTTTTTATTCATTTTTGTGTGTGTAGTTACTATACGGAAAGAATTACCAATTATTTCTTTTTCTTTTTTTTCTTTCGTTATTTTTATTTTCTTCTTCTTCAACACTGACGACGACGATGAAACGAATAAGACGGTGACGACGAGTAGAGATCGACGTTAGACGCGGCGCACGTCATTAATATTATGTATGTATAAAGGAGAGAGAAAGAGAAAGAGAAAGAGAGAGAGAGAGAGAGAAAAATGAAGAATGAGTCTGTATATGAGTCGGTCACAAATTATTCTACATGTGGTGATGTATATGAAGGAAACAGAATAAATATATGCATAGGGAATAATTATCCTTTGTGTGTGTATGCTGTACGTATGACGATGTTAGCTCTCTATAATTCTTTTTCTCATATCACACAAATATAAACAGGTTTAGATTCTCGCGTTTACCGCACATAAAGAGGATTTAATCACATATAGAACAGATGTTCAATAATACTATATTTTTACTGGGACAATCATATACGATACAGGTTGGCAAGTGTAAAACATCACCGTATCAAGAAATTCTCTAAATATGGAGCTTAGTTCATATATAATTTTGCAAAATTCTGATGACATTGCTGTATGTTGTAAGTACGATCTCGTGTAAAATGACTCAACGTTACTTTTCAAAACGTTGTTATTGTATGAATTTTGATTTGTTTTATATTCGCGTTGTGTTGACTCTTAACGTATACATACGTTAATGATCATATGATTTCCATCGAGAAAAAGCACTCGAACTGTTATTATAATAAGTGTGTGTAATCAACGAACTATAGAATAGAAGGCGAAGTTTTTTTTTTCACCAATCGCAAGCAAGACCTTTTCTTTGTGTAAATAGGTAGTATTTTTCTAAAAAGAAGAAAAAAGAAAAGTTTGACCCATTTTCGACATAAACATTTGATAAAGAGAAAAAAAAGAAGTATTATATTTCTGGACGATATAGCACTACACAAAAACACATACATTTTTTATTTTTCTACAATGTTTGTTCTGATTTACATCGAACATTCTCGTCTTTATTACTGTTTGTAGTGAGTATTTCTGCATATTTTTGTAAGAAAAAGCGACAAAGAAAAAAAGAGCGTAATAGACGCAAAAAAAGAAGAAGAAGAAAAAAAAGAGAGAAAATGTTTGTAGATTAGCTATATTTTTAGAATGTAAAATCGACGACGACAACGATATTTCATTTGTTAAACATCATTTTTCTTCGACGGACGTTTTTTCGCTTCATTTCTTTCAGTTTTTCTTCTCTGCTTAAATTACTATTATTATGGTAACATATAATATAAGAATCCTTTTCAAAACTAATGAAGTTCACTATGTGTGTGCATTGAACGTTATATATATATTTTAATATAAAAGAGTATCTTAGATATGGCAAAAAATATTTTTGCTATTTAAAAATAGATTTTTTTGAAGAGTTTCTTCTATATTTATATATTATATTTTTCACTCTATACGATGAGAGAAAAGATATATTTCATCTGTAATTTTAATCTTAACTATTGATTTATTATGAGTGTAAAGTGAAACACTGGTGTAGGTACGTTTTCTTGTTTTCTAATACATTTATAAACTATAAAAATATAATATGAACTAGAAACCTAACGTATTTTGTTTCTTTTTTTTTGTTTTTTAGAATGTTTGTTGGAAATTTATAGGCAATAACAAATAATTGTTTTTGGTGATTCGGGCACTATATTCATAGTTAATTATGAATACATGATTAATATTTTCCTATCATCTACCAAGTTCTATAGATGCCAAAAAAATGTTTTCTAGCTCACTCAATTAAAAATCTATACATTAAAAAAAAAAATATTTTAAACTTTTAAAATTTTAGAATTTTCATGAAGTTTTCGATTGTCTATCGAATGATAATAACAAAAAAAAAAAAAGAAAAGAAAAATGAATCTGTACAGCAATTTTGTCTGGGATTTATCGTGAAAAGACAAGAGCTGTGAATGGAAAGTCGGAGTTTGATTATCTCGTCAACGGCTCATAGTTTTTGTTTACCTTTATTTATTGTACATTTTCAATCTTTTAACGAATAAACTACTCGAGTTGGTATGAACGGAGTAGTTAAAAACAGAATATCGACGTAATTAATACACAATCAATTTGTACAATCAATTACACAATAATGACAGTTACTCGTTTCAGAGGTGAATAAATATTCACAAAAATAATTTAAATATCTCCTTCATTTCTGGCAAAGAAAACTGTTTTTCTTGACAACTCTTTTTAGATGAGTGAAAAGAGAAGAATTGACCAACTTCAGAAAGTTTCATCTTGTTAAATGGAACAATAAGAAATCAGATGAATTTATAAAACACTAACATTTTATGAGCTCTAGACAATATTACCATTTGTTTTAAAATCGGGTTTATCATGAGCCAGATCGTATGTATATATAGAAAAACCGATGTTATCATTATAAGAGAATTTTTAATAATACATTCAACAAATATTGGTTTATTTTGAGGTCAATCTCAATACATGCTCCTGTTTTGCAACATATCTACCTCGTAGTCTTTTTAATTGGACTGAAAATACACGATAACGTCCGATGATGACATATATTATATTACGATTTTTTTTACTAATCGAAACGTGAGTTTAGTAATCCACTCTATCATGTTAAATATACAGTGTAAAAGTGGAAAGCTTTGTTTTCAAGAGTAACCACAATTATTTCATACTTTAAACCCAAAAGATGTAAAGAAGAAAATACTGAAAGATGATATATATATATTGCCTTATGAAATTAATGTTAAAAAATATTCGATGAAATGACACAATAGTTTCACGCTTTTTAGTATTTATTTGGACATAGAAAAGCACTTTCTCACTCAATTATGTTCAAGATAATAAGAGTGGTAAAAATATTTTTATTTCTTCTCTTGACTAATACGTTTGACTTTTTTGTGAAAATAGTATATACTCATTGTAAACTCTCGTAAGTGCAAGTAGCCGTTGACTTGTAATAAAAAAACGTGAGAAGGACAAGAAAATTTTTTCAATCCTGAACTGAGATTTCTTTTCAATAAAAATGTACTCCTTTTTTCCAAGCTATACTACAGATCAAAATAGAAAAAAATGATTTTAGTTTCTTCTTTGTGTTGTATAACATTTACACTCAAATAATGAGTGTTTGTGATGATAGTATACATGCAGCATATTCAGTACATACGAAAAACTATGATTTATAAGAAATAAGAATGATGTTTTAATGACAAAAATGTTTGAGAGATGCCGCCGCAAACCTATAATTTTTTTTACTTCCATTAACGTTTGCTTAAGCTAGAAATATGATAAAAATAAACGAGAGTTTATGTTTGTCTAATAAATGACAAAAGAACATATATAAGGAGAAAAAAGAGTTTAATCATAATCATCTTCGTCATTATCGTTGTTAAGCCCGGTATTTCACATTCTTCTAGTTCCAAGAGTACTCTTTCACTTAAACCTGATTCAACTTGATCCACTTTCATTACACGAAAACCACAACATTAACGTCTACTGTTTTGTTGACTATTCTGATATTGTCTGAAGATTTAAAGCAGTACCTATATTTTTGATTGTTAGTGTGCATAGAACAGGAGTTTTAACAAACCTATCCTTCAGTCCGTAACGTTGACATTGACATGAATGTTGTATTCATTATGGTATTATTAACAGCATATTTTGATGTTTCATCTTTACTTGCTTGTAGACAGCGGTATATCCTATCAACAAAACTATATTGTTTAGCTTGATGTGGAGCAGAATGTATAAACAATGCAGCTAATGCATGTTTAGCAGACGTTGACATCATTGGAAATAATCTTACAGCATCGAGTGAATAAAGTTCTTTTAAAATAATCAAATATTTTCAAATGTTTTTGTTATAAACTTGCAAAGGCGACTACGACTTTCATGGTAATTTTTGACCCCAGAACGGGATATATGTAGGTTTGTACAGGAAGACTTCCTCTATCTAGTGGTATATATATTATCAAATTCTGTTGCGTACCCGTGAGAGAAAATTAAAGGTGACCCCTCTCTTTTTACACTTTTTTAGAAATATTTTTTATTTTTGAGTTAAATATTGTACATTATAGAGTAAAGTGTCCTCTACAAAACAAGACTACTTCCAGCTCTCTAACACCTTTCGTTGAGGAGATATAAATTTTTTAAAGTTTGTTACTTTATTCTGAAAAAACCCTAGTTTCTTACTTTCGAAACTCTTTCCTCTTTCGTTCAGTACTTGATAAACTTTTGAAACAGTCAGTC